TTTTAAGCTAGCTAGCAACTTGGAGAAATAGAACAAATATAGATTTTAGTGGAAGGAGTGAAATTGTTATTTCTATAGTTACCTAAAAAAAATCTAACATTACAATGTGATACAAAGCACATCTTACCTCACTTATTGCTGCAGACTGCTTTTTCACATTCATATTTATCGGTGTCTCAAAAATACTTGTAAATGTATTGTTTCTGGGGTTATGTCTATGAAAGAAAGCAGGCACAATTTTAGAGAATTATTATCAATAATCTCTAAAAGAATAGCATTCTTTTAAATAGAGATACTCATATTATCACATGACATTTATTTGATCACTGAACAAATTCCAACTTGAAAAACTGGCAAGGGTTTGTTGTTTATCATTTAACTTTGGCAATAATTTATACCTTGTTATATATAATTATAAATGTAAAAAATGTAATGATTATGTTTCAGGCACTGAATATTTAACTTTTTAAGTACGTGGTGGGTCCTGAAGCATAAAGGAGCGCTGTTACCTTCCCACTGAAGTGGTACATAACAGCACTCCATGACATCATGCTGGCCATATGACCAAAGAAATGTCTTCAGAGAGCACTGGATCAATGGCCTTGAAACAGAGACGAGCATTGCCACCTATAGTGGGCAACGACTAGCAGAATAAACTCCTTTTTTACCTTTTATTGAAGCATAAAGGAAATTGGATAAAGATATTGGGCCTTTCTCACTACTGAGTTAAAGTATCATCCAGACATCCTTTAGTCATCATAAAATCAAAATAACACAAAAATGTACTAGCTCTGCTACTAGTCTCTATCCTGTATTGCATCTCTTCTGAGTCACTGCTAAATGGTGTTCTAATTTGTGAGAATGCCATTGATTGTAGGCCAGGGAATTATTTTTATATCCTGACTTTGCCGATATCCTTTCTCTGTGTGTCATCATACAACAAGGAAAATGTCCTCTCATGATGGCACTGTTGCACTGTGGCTAAGGTTGAGGTCAGAAGCCAAGGACCTGAGATCAGGCATTACAATAACTATTCTCAGGTGTCAATTATTTGGCCTACTGAGAAATAAGTAGCTGCCAATCCATTGCAATGTAAAGAAAAGGGAAAGAGACATAGGATTTTAATTGGAGATTCTTTTCCTTTTTCTCTCTCTTAAATCAGAGAGTTTGTCTTGTTTTTTGAGACATTCAAGGACCTAGCTATGATAACATATTTCTAGTAGTTTTCTAATGTCTGTATTAAGAGTATATTATCAAGGCTAAGTCCTCAAATCTCTGCTTTCTAATTCAATTAGTCTCGATGGTGCCTGATGTGCAGAGGGAATGGGTTTAGGACTTTGCCTAACTTATCTAAGCTTGTTTGTTTTCCTATCCCGTTTGGTCTTTTCCCAAATTAAAACTAATGAAATATCTCCCTCTGAGAGTCCTTCAGTTGCAAGACTGATCATATGGGCCAATAAGAAAGTAAAGTCAGGAAAACAGAATTGTGCCAGTTCTCACGAACTTATAAAAAAAGGGAACAGAAAATACTCACTGGAACTGCTGATTTTTAGAGTGAAAAATACTAACAAAAACAATAATAAATATTTAAAAAGATTTTAATATTTATATTCAATAAAAACTATTAAAAAAAAACAATAATAATGTGACACATTATAGCCGCGATGGCAAACCTATGGCACGCGTGCCAGCGGTGGCATACAGAGCTCTGTATCACCAGCTGCTTCTCTGGTTTCCAGCGTGCGCATGCGCACCAGCCAGCTGACCTTTGGGTTTCTGGCACACGCATGCAGACACATTCCGGTTTGGGCACTCAGTGCTGAAAAGGTTAGCTATCACTGCATTATAGGCATCCATGACTAAACATGAAAGTTTAGCATGTGAACTTTCAAAAATATTTACCACTGAGCTTGAATTTAGAAAAAATATAAAAGGATATGCACAATATTCATCATTTTCAAGCATTATTCTCATTAACTGCACTCAACGGCAGTAACTCTACGCAACTATCTTCCCAGAGAAGGTATTAGTAGCTACAACAGGGATAGAGAATGTGATTTGGCAAACTGAAGAGTCTCAAATCAGGCCTACTAACACAAAGATGGTCCACCCCCTATTTAGTTATTTAGAATCATTCTAATGCTTCCAAATTAAATAATCCCATAGAATTGGAGGTGATTTATAATGAGACCATAGCACTATGGTAAAATATTAACTTTTTTCCTTTGATGGAATAGGAATTTAAAATCTGAAAAGTCATATGTTGCTAATAACTGCTCTAAATTAAGGGAACATATTTTTTCTGGGCTAAGATACACGGTCCAATGAGTCTTCAAATAGGACTGCAAAACAAAATGGGTAAATTCAAAGAGAAAAAGAAATCTAATTTTGAGTTTATTTTAATCATATTTAGATTTAAATTAAACTAGGCATAGGTGATATAATTATCTTCCAGATATGCATGGAATTATTTTTCTCTTTTATTAGAAATGACTTTCAGGTAAAAGGTTCTACGACAACCAACAAATTATCCCACGGTGAATTGGCCATGTTGAGTTTTCCCACGGCGAGTTGGCTGGGTTGATTTGGCCATGGTGAATTGGTTGTGGCGAGTTGACCATTGTGAATTTGCCATAGCGAATTGTCCCATTCTGCTCTGAAACTTCAGACAGAGGCACACAAGTTGGGGTTTCAAGTTGTGTGCTTTATATAAACTGGATCTTTTAGAGTACACCTATTTTGGTCTGTAATCTAATAACCAGTTATAATTCTGCTGAACTAAAACTCTTGTCATTATCTTTTGAGCAGGCTGGTTGGTAAATCTGTGAGTTGTAACTCAACACATCTGGAGATTAGAAGGTGGGAGAAACCAAAACAGCCTGGTACTAAGTAAACAGTTACTGAGTACCCCCTGAATTTAATCAGGCATTTCACTTTCTATCTTAGTCTTTTAAATTATCATATTTTCAACTGTACTTTTAAACAGAACTTAGTTTTAATGCATACTATACTGTATTTATTATTTTAAATGCTATGGACAGGTTTTGTTTATCCCACAATACAGATGAATTTTATTGTCTGAATAAACCACTAATAGCTGAAAAACATCTGAGAAAATTTTCAATAGTATCAGAATTTATAAAATATTATAAAACAAAATTGACACTTGACAATACTTACACTTGACAATATGGCCTTTTCTGATGGCTAACAAAATTATTTACCGTTAGCATCATCTTGCAAACCTCACAGTGAAAACAGGCTTTATGCCAGGTCTAGAAAAGCAGATAGAAATGGGGTGAAAGTTATTTGTTTTGCATTTTCTAAATCTAGTTTAAAATTTTATAACTAATTTTTCCAGACAGTCTAACAATCAAACACACATGAGGTACGTTGTAAATCCATTTCTCCTTTAGAATCTTTTTTTTAAAAAAACAAAGCAGTGCAACAAATTTAGCAACTGTTCAATTCTAACTTGGCCATCCAATAGTTATATTGATTAATATACTTTAGGATAAGTATATTTTATTTATTTCAACAAAATTTTGCTGAAGTCATTTCTTCAAGATAGACAAATAGAACATTTATAATAATGGCAAATAGTAATTAACTACTAACCTGATCGATACAATTAATCTTCTCAGCAGGATAGACTCCATAGCCACACCTGGCACAAGATTGAATATTCATATTAAAATTATATATAAAAAATTAAATTCTGAGAGTCCAGTAATATACAAAAAATGCCTTGTTTCCTAAGAAAGATACTCCAGTCTGCTTGTGCTGTGCTTCTGAGTTGCACTCAGCTGTTGCCTGGTTTTTAAAGCTGTCACTTAGTAAGAGGGTTATTTTGGCAACTGTGTTAAGAGTTCATAGAGGGAAAGAGATGCAAGAATTCAATGAAGCCTTTCTCTAAATAGATGAGTGAAGTCAGAAAGAAGCATCATGGTCATATGAAAATAAAGGCTGTCTAATTGGTAATATATAAAGTAGGGAGTTCAATGTTCATTTGTCAGAGTCCCAGGTTTGCCTTCTAAATATATTTCAGATCATCTTCAGATTATTATGTATTCACTAAGAGTCTATTAAGGAAAGCACAAAAGGCCAAAGCATTTTCAGAGCAGAGACTGATTCCCAAGTTTCCCACCTATGCAGGTGGGAAAAAAATCAATAATACCTATTGTTTTTCAAAAACTATGGCACAGGATGGGATTGGGAATTCCAGAAATGCCTGAAAGATTTAACTACTTTTCAAGTTGTTTTACTGAATATCTATTTGTCTTCAGGAATAGTTAGCCCTCAATTTACGACCACAATTGAGGCCAAAATTACTGTTGCTAAGCAAGACATTTGTTAAGTGAATTTTGCTTTATGTAACGACTTTTCTTGCCACTTGTTAACTGCAGTTAATGACACAATTATTAAGTAAACCTGGCTGTCCCCTTGACTTTGCTTATCAGAAGGTAGCAAAAGTGATCACATAATCCAGGACACTGCAAGTCTGCAACCATTATAAAAAATGAATCAATTGCCAAAAGTCTGGATTTTGATCACATGACCATGGGATTCAGCAATGGTCCTAAGTGTGAAAAATGGTCACAATTCATTTTTTTCCCCCAATGCCGTTGTAACTTTGAACATCTCGATTTAATTTGATTTCCTCCCTTAAGAGGACCCTGCCCATAGCCCTGGAATAACACTAGGAAAAAGTTAAGATTTTCTCCCTTGTTTGCTAATTCAAACTTTTATCTACCGCCGGAAAAGCATGTCGCCTTCCTTAACTTAGTCCTCTCCAGATATGTGAGGATGACAGAACTGACCATGACTAGACGAAAAAGCAGTTTATTCCTAAAGGGGAAAAAATCCGGCTGGCGAAAACTGAAAGTCAACTGCCTGGAATGAGGGGAAAGGACGAAGCACTCACCGGGGTTGCGGATTGCGAAAACAAACGCTTGTTCCACGCTCAGCCCAAAGGAGGCGCTATAGAGACTTGGCTGGGCCGACCGGGAAGACGGATGGCTAAATTCAAGTCTCTCCGCGGTAACTTCCTGGGTTGCCGCAGGGAGTAAACTTTTCTGACCGTTTAGTTTCGCTTTTACCTTCGACTTAGCGTTGCGGACAGCAGGCAAAGCGAGAGGAGTGGGGAGCTGTTCGCCACGGACATCACGCGGGCAAGTATAGCTTATTTCGAGAAAAAGAACCTCATTCCCCCCCCTCCCCAAGACTCAAGTCCCACCTCCATGCCGATTTCTCTGTACTTCAGAAACTCCCTGGTAAACGACGGGCTTTTTCAAAACTTTTAAAAAGAACTCTGCTTAAGCTCTCCTCGTTGTGCTTTCATTCGCTGTTAAACATTTTGTGGCCGAGAACTCGCCCGTAAGAACCTTCAAAAAGTGATGGAATCTTGCAGTCTTTGTTTCCCTCCCCACCCACCGTGTCATACTTATTCGTGCCGAGGGTTGCCATTTTTGCTTTTAAAAACTAATGGTGAAAGTTACACCTGTTGGAGTTCTACCTGACTGATTAGTTTCATGCAGCTAGTCCTCTTCGGTCGGTATCAGATGGCCATTCCAGAAAATAACGCATCGTTCGTGTTCCTTTCCCGTGCTACAGAAAAGCGATCTGGGGAATTTCTGCTTGGCCTGGAGCTAGGAAAATGAGGATTTAAGTGCAGTTACTTCTGTGTTTCAGTTTTCCATGCTAAGATGCTTGGGACCAGCTCTTCAAGCACGCTATCATGGTTGCATTGATCTGACAAACTTACTCTATGGTTGGTTAAGTAATCCATGGTTCACTCAACTGATTAGAATTGCACAACGTGAAAAACTATAGGGTATCTACAGTCTGGGTTTATACAAGAAACGAAACTTTTGTGGTTTAGCTTGTTGTAGAATTGCAGCTTCTTGCTGGTCTCCAACTGATGGACACAAAACGGCGTGCTTGCTAGAAAAAAAAGATGGGCTCTATTATATCATTTCCCCCTATCTTATTAACTGAAGCATTCTTGCCTATTTTCTGATGGGGAAGAAAAGCTGATAAAGATCAGCTGATGAGATTATCCAGGATCCATTTTCAAGGTTTCTGGTTAAAATGAAAGAAAAAGAACTTGGGAACAGAAATGAAACAAAAAGTTGATTTTCTACACGAAAGAAACCCCCCCGGGGGGGGTGTTGCTCTTTGCCCAGCCAGTTATGGGGTCAGGATGGCTTTTCTCTTGTCACAGTCTTCTAATCAGAGCCATCTGGTGGCAAAATCCAAAACATGCTGCCTCTTATTTAATAGCTGTAAGGCAATACATAAGATAAGGATCTGGGAGAATTGCCTCTGCTGCTCTAGTGTTTTGCAACCCTCCCATTAAGAAAAAAAAGAGTGCTGCAGCAGAAGCTGGGATAATGCAGAGGCTTTCAGGATAGGTTCTCCTTTCCAAATTGATAAGGATATTGTAAAGGCAGGCAAGATTCTGTTCATAGAAGCAGAATAACTCCAAACAAGTTGAGCTATCCCTTTTTGTCTTACGGAGGTATGACACGAATTATTTAAGTACCTGCAGTTATCCCAGTGATATCTCCTAATCTCCATATTGTCTATGGAGATTCTCAATCATCCAGGTCATGATTGAACTAAAGGTGTTTTTCAAAAGGCAACTGGACTTTCTAGGGTTTTTTTCTTTGAAAAAGTTTTGCTTCTCATCCAAGAAGCTTCTTCAGTTTTTATTGAATGGTGGAGAATCGAAGGATTTCTATTATTTGCTGTCATCTGAACCACTCTGAAGGTCAAGTCGGTTGTTAGCTCTCCAAGAGTTGTTGAGTCCACCTGGGGGTTTATCTGTACCCTCAGGATCACCTGAATCAGAATGCAAATGGGTGTGTAACCTTCTTGATACTGTTGAAAGGACTGTGTTGTAGACAGGAGATAGTGCCTTCCTAACACTACAATTTTAACATAGATGGTCTCTGACCCTCTTTCAAACCATTGGTCCTCTCTGTCCAGAATGTGAACTTTGCTGTCTGACACACCTATTGAATGGGAAAACAAAATGACCACAAACACATGCACAACAAACCCATCAGGACAAGATTCAGCAGTTCATCTGCATTTGAAAGACAAAAGTCACTTTTTTGAAGACAGCAGATTTCACATTCTGGACAGAGAGGACCAATGGTTTGAAAGAGGAGTCAAAGCAGGGGTGAAATCTAAAATTTTTCTCTACCGGTTCTGTGGGTGTGGCTTGGTGGGAGGGTGTCCTGTGACTAAGTGGGCATGGCCAACTCGATGTAACTCACAGCCATGCCCACTCAGTCACAAGATGCCCTCCCACCAAGCCACGCCCACAGAACCCGGTAGGAAAACTTTTTAAATTTCTTTTTTTTTTAATAATACTTTATTGATTTTAAAAAAAAAATTTAAAAAAGAAAACATCAAATCTCCATTAACATCTGAGGTGTCGTGCGGTTACATATTTACATTATATACATATAAAGTATCTTCAAATCTACCATTATTAGAAATAGACATATCCTTATAATCTCGTTCTATTATTCCACCATTTGTACCACCTTTCCCATACTGCCTTAAATTTTGAATTCTCATCGTCTTTAAGAGCACTTGTTAATTTTGCCATTTCTGCGCATTCTAGGATTTTATTTATTATTGTCATCTCTGGAGGGGTTTGTTTGTCCTTCCAGTATTTTGCAAAGGTTAATCTGGCCGCTGTTATAACATGTATAATTAATTGTATCTTGTCTTTAGAGAGTCTATCTCCCATCATTCCTAATAAGAAGATTTCGGGGGAAAGTTTTATATCTTCTTCCAGTATTTTTCGTAACCAGATTCGTATTTTTGTCCAAAACTTTTTTGTCTCCGGGCAGGACCACCACATATGAAAGAAGGTGCCAACCTCCTTTCCACACTTCCAACATATTGCTCAGGTACTGGGAAATATTTTTGCTAGTCTAGCTGGGGCTAGATACTATCTATGAAATATTTTATAGTGATTCTCCCTATAAATTGCTGATTTAGTCAGATTATAATTTCTATTCCAGGCCTCCTCCCAGTCATTGAAATTTAGCATATAGCCAATATTTTTTTCCCAAATGCTTAGTTGATTCCTGGCTATTCCTTCTGCTCTGTCCTCGCCTAATAAGAAGTTGTAAAATCTCGCTAGCATTTTCTTTTCAATCCCCAACATAATTTTATCCAAATTGTTGTTCTTCGTCTCTATACCGAATTGATCCCTATCTTTTTGATATCTTGAGCTTATCTGTAAGTAGCTCCACCAATCTAAATTGAAACCTTGATTACTTAATATTTCTCGTGATTTAAGAATACCATTATCATCTAATATATCTTTGTACGTGCCAAATTTTAAGATATCCCTTTTATTACAGGCAGTCAGAGCCTCCATAATTGAGAGCCAGATCGGTACTTTTGTGTAAAATCTTTGCCTAATTTCTTCCCATGTTTGAATCAGGGTCTCCCTTAATTTGTGTTTGTGGAAATATGAGTTCTTTTTATTCTTTAGGCCCCATAAATAAGCGTGCCAGCCTGCCTGTAGATCATGGCCTTCTAACATCAGAATTCTCTTGTTTTGTAATGTAACCCATTCTTTGATCCATACTAATTTGGCCGCCTTCTGATATGCTTCCCAATCGGGTAATCCGAAGCCACCCATGTTTCTTTCCCTTGCAGTGTTTTATATGCAATCCTTGCCTTCTTCCCTTCCCATAAAAATTCTTGCACCTTCTTTTCCATATCTAGGAAATATTTTTTATCAATATTCACTGGTATAGTTTGAAATAAAAATATAATCTTGGGGAGAATATTCATTTTAATTGCTGAGATCTTACCTGTAAAAGACAATTTTAACTTCTTCCATCTGTCTATATCCTGCTTTATTTTTGTAGTAGTGGACTGTAGTTATCCTCCTTTAAAGAGGAATATCTTGCAGTTATCCATATTCCCAAATATTTTATTTTCTTCGCTATCTGAAGTTCTAAGGACTTTTCTAGCTCTTTCTTGTTTGTCTCTGTCATATTTCTTGCTAAAATTTTAGTTTTGGTTTTATTAAGCTTGAAGCCAGCGACTTCTCCATACTGTTGTACTTCCTGGAGTAATTTGGGGCCAGATTTCAAGGGATCTTCCATTATTTAGGCCACGTCATCTGCGAAGGCTTGTGTTTTAAAAATTTCTTTCTTAATTTGTAGTCCTTTGATTTCTTTGTTATCTCTGATCTTTCTGAGTATGATTTCCAGCGCCATTATAAAGAGTAGAGGGGACAGGGGGCATCCCTGTCTAACTCCCTTTTGTATCCAAAATATCCGCGTCTTGTCCCCATTTATTAAAATGCCCTCTGTTTATGGTAAATATTTTCAATCATCTTTCTAAAATTTGTCCCAAATCCCATTAAATCAATTTGGTTGATCATAAATTTCCAATTTAAGTTGTCGAACGCCTTTTGGGCGTCCAAGAACACTAACGCCAGCTGTTTTTCCAGGTGCTGTTCATAATATTCTATGACATTTATTACAGTCCTCACGTTATCCCTCATTTGCCTCCCTGGGAGGAATCCTTTCTGATCATTGTGAATCCAGCCATTTAGAATTTTTTTTAGTCTTTCCGCAATTATACTTGTAAATAATTTGTAATCTGAATTTAACAAAGAAATCGGCCTATAATTTGCTATCTGTTTCGGATCGGCACCTTCTTTCAATATGAGTGTAATATAAGTTTCTTTCCAGGAATCTGGGATTCTTGTACCAACTAATACCTTATTAAATATATCTAACAGTTCTAATTGTAATTCTTCCTCAAATTTTGCATAAATTTCCCCCGGGAGACCATCTGGGCCTGGTGTTTTGTTTTGTTTTTTATTTTGGCAAGAGCCAATTTGAGTTCTTCCACTGTGATTTTGTTGTTTAACATTTCTCTCTCTTCTTCCGTTATCTGTGGCAAGTTAGCTTCCATCAGATATTGTACAGTTTTATCTGGATCAAACGCTTCCTCTTTATATAAAGTTTTGTAAAATTCTCGCGCTCTTTCTAACTTATCCACTTCTTTTGTCAAGATATCACCATTGGAGTCTTCTAGTGTGAGAATTTGATTTTTTTCCTGTTCTTTTTTTAATCTGTATGCCAGCCATCTTCCCGACTTGTTGGCGTTCTCAAAGTGGTAGTGTTTTGTTCTCTTGATTTTTTGCGCCAACTCTTCCTGATCCAGAATGTTAAGATTATGCCTTGCCATCATCCACTTTTGTTTGGCCATCTCGTCTCCCGGGTTTTGTTGTAATTTGCTATCCGCTTCTTCTAGTTTCCTATTATAATCCTCTCTAACTTTCCTTTCTTCCTTATTTTTGAATGCCATGTATGATATCGCTACTCCTCTCAAATATGCTTTCATGGTATCCCATACAATTTCCTTCGCCGTGCCTTGCTTGCCATTCTCGATGAAGAAGCGCTTAATAACTTTTTAAATTTCTATTCTGCCAGCGTGTCCTTACCTTTCTTCCGTGGCTCCGCCCACCCACCCCATTCCCCGGAATCGGGGAATGCACCATTGCCCGACTACGTCCTTGCCACGGAACCGCTGCCTGCTTGCCCTTCGCCACGCGGCTCCGCCCACCTGCCCCATTCCCTGACTCCTCCTGCTCACCTTTCTCCCGCGGCTGGCTGTCAGGGAAGGCAAGCGGCCGAAAGTTACCAGAGTCGCTCACTCTCCTTCTTGAATGAGCCGCTCTGATCCACGTGCCGGCTGCGCAAGCACACACCCAACCTGCCACTGATTAGTGAATTAAATAAACAGTGTGCGCTTGCACAGCTGGCGCATGGACCAGAGCAGCTCATTTAAGAAGAAGAGTGAGCGACTCCAGTAACTTTCGGCCGCTTGCCTTCCCTGACAGCCAGCCACGGGAGAAAGGTGAGCAGTAGGATACACCGTGTGGCAAAGAGCGAACAGGCAGTGGCTCCGCAGCAAGGCCGGACAGGGAATGGTGCATTCCACGACTCCGGGGAATGGGGCGGATGGGCGGAGCCTCCAGCTGCCATTGCTACCGGTTTTCCAAACCACCGGCCATCATCGCTACCTACTCATCCGAACCGGGAGTATTTCATCCCTGGGTCAAAGAGGCCAACTTCATATTAAAATTGAACAGCCCTTTCTCAACAGAGGGCAAGGGATACAATGCCACCTATCTTATGTCTACAACACAGTCCTTTCAACAGGCCCAAGAAGGTTCCACACCCATTGCACTTTGATTCAGGTGTTCATGAGGTAAACCCCACTGACCAGATGACTGCAAAGAATATAAATCCTTCCATTCCCCACCATGCGGTCAGAAATAAAGAACCTTTTTGGATGAGAAGCAAAATGTTTTCAAGGGGAAAACCTATAAAGTCCAGTTGCCTTTTCAAAAGCACCTTTGGAATAATCCCCATATTGTTTCTGTATGCCCCAAGGTTTTCAAAAAGTATGTTTGTTTTTAGCACTTAGAAACTCTTCAATGGCCTTCATTGTGCAGAGTAAATAACTCAGTTGGGTGTTTTTTTCCCTTGGTACAGTCAGCAATATATTATTGTATTTATAGATCATAGTACACTTCATTAGGCACGTGGTATTTTTCGGAGTATAAGGCGGACCAGAGTATAAGACGCACCTACCTTTTTTGGTTGTTGTTTTTTTTTTATTTTTTAGACAAGCACACATACAAACATACAATGTATTTTCTTTGAACAGAGTATTTGGCTGGTTCACAAATTTAAACAGTGTTTAGTCATTTCAATTAAATTTACAATTTCTATATTTCCTTTTTGCCATATTTATTCCTCGTCTATTTTTTTTAAAAAAAACCAATATTACCCTTCATTCTCATCTCTAATCTTAATCAAATTCATTCAATTTTTTTATTTTTTTTAAATCATCAATTTTTACCCACCCTGCACTATAGTAAACTATTAATGTTTAAATCAGCTTGTACCTTGAAATTTTCAGTATTATTATTTTTAGATATGAAATGAAGTGAAAAGTTTCTTGCTGAAAAAAATGTACAAGAAGTTGATTCAGAAAATAATACTATTATTTGTTTGAATGGAGATCCATTTGTAAATTGCTTTTTTAATAATTTCTTTCTATAACATTCTGAAAATGCTAAACATTATGAGAGCTGCTCAGTCCTTCATATTCAATCTCCCAAAATGTTTCAAAGCTCATGAAGGCACAAATACGGCAACTGACCACAGACCTTAAAACAACTGTGTCTTTTCTTGGTAACACAGCAGCATGTTTAGAAATAAGGCATATACAATCAGTGGCAGAGCAAGAATGTTCTCTTCACATGTATGCGGGTTTTTTTTTCATTTTTCCAGTTATGTTAAATAATAAATAAGGAACAAAGAAATTGTATTTCAGTAGTTTTGTAAAACATATTCCACCTAAACTTGAATGCAAATGTCTAACCTCTAGATTCACTTTTTTTTAAAAAAATAGAAATATATCATGCTATCTAAAATGATACTAATTGTAAGAATATTGATTGTAGAGTCTGTTGCTTATCTAAATATTGGCAGAAGATACCTATTCCTGTGTTGCCACTGATGGCTGAAGATACTAAAAATGATTATGCTGATACAGTCGATGCAAAACCTTCAAGAACTGATCGGTTATCCATCTTTGCAAAGTAAGAAAATAATTTTGAAATAAGAAATCTTAGTTATTCTAAAATAGGTATACGAAAAGTTGTGATAACAGTTCATCTGTAGATTACATGTGAACAAATTATTTTGTGACATAGGAATGTTTATGAATATTTTGATCTATTGACAGTCACTTTCATATATTTTTTTTGAAGACTTCCTTTTTTAAAATTAAAACGATTGGGAATATTTACCTCAATTTCATTTAAATTTCATTTAACATTTTAAACTCTATCCATATGACTATGGGCTCCCAATGGTAACTTATTCTGAAGAATAACTTATTCTGAAGAATAGGTTTTGATAGTCTGAAAGTTTTAGTATTTTACCATTAATCTACTCATACAATTATATGTTCATAATGTAGTCTACTATTTCTGATACTGAAAGTCATGCTTGAAAGAAGAAAAAGTTAACAACAAACAGGGATTCATCATTCAATATGTGGGTCCAGCAGCTATTCAATAAGAATTTGGAGATAAATGAACAACAGCTCCTGATCAAATTTTGTATTTAAAATGAGGCCATTAGGCTACCATTAGTTGCATTATTGCATTCCAATCTTTTATTGGTACGTAATAAAAATGAAAGTTTATACATCTGCAAGTTTCAAATTCAAAATGCCACTTTCAAACAGCTGTTTTTAACCTGAAACATTTTAACACTGAACCAGCTTCATTGAAATAAAACATTTGAAATTCAAAATAGTTCGACACTGATTTTTTGCAGGCTCCATGAAAATCCCTGCTTAGAGAGAAATGTTTATTATCCCCAATTATATATGTGATTTATACAACCATTCATCTCAGACATTTAAGGAAATAGACTTTAAATTGTCACTAAAAATTTCTGTTTTGAAAGTTTTATTAACAGGGATAAAGAATTGTTTTATGTTCCTATTAAATATTTTTAGATAGTGGTTTTAAGATGCTTTCTAACATCTTAAATACTGACTGTAAGCATATCCTGGAACAAATGTTTATTATAAAAAGCAGCATATAAATTCTTAATATTTTTTTTTTACTAAAATGGATTTACTTTTTTGGCAGGCATAGCGTATGAATCCTTTTATTTTATTCTTTTTATTGTGTTTATTATACAATAATCCAAGTCCTACTTTTTAAGACGGGCTTACTGTAGTATAGTGGAATTTCAAACTAGGGTTTCATGTTTATCTGTGCAAATCATTTGAGCAACCTCATATCTGTTCCTCAAACAGTCAGGTAAAGACTAGGGATGTGTTTTGTTTTGTTGTGAAAGGTTTTCTTGGGGTCATGTATACTGTGAAATACAGCTTTCCCAAATGATAACAACCACATCAACATGTTTGGATGTTGCAGTTTCCAGCTAACATGGGTATGGAAGTACACTAGCAATCACAACTGGAGATTATAAGGTTGGCTAAAGTGATTCTCTTGTCAGGATTATGCTTTTTGTTTCATTATAATTTACCTTACATTTTCACACAAATAATGATCAATAAACTGACTACATAGCTTCCATTTGACATGTGTATATCCAAAAGTAGGAGAAGCATTTTTGTTGGACAAGAATACTGTTTAGTATTACAAGCACGGACAGGCACTCTGTTGCTAATAAATATAGAGCATTTTGTTCCGTGTATGAGGCATTTCGTCCTTTTTGTTTTCATTGCTAAAACATGGCTTAACAACATAAGAGATCAGGGAACTGAAGAAAAGAAAAGAAAAGTGGAGTGTGTTTTTGTCTGTTTCTGATAAGAATGTCTCTAGTGAGAGACATGTATTCAAGTCAGATAAAATTCAGTGGGAAGCCTATCCTGATTTCTTCCATTTGAACATTTCATAAAAGCAGGTTTCTCTGTGCAAGATATGGCTTGTAGCAGGGATGGGGAAAGTAAGTAGAAGCTTGGGTGGGCATGCTTTTTGTACCTGTCTACATTTCCTTAAATCAAAGATGCCTTTTGCTAGAATCAAAACATGAGCCTGACAACTGAGCAATTGCTCACAACTGCTACGCGCAATTGTGTGATCTCCAAATTACCTTTTCCCTTTCAGAACACTTCCCAAAACATTGTTAAAATCTTACTTCAGCACAGATTATAAAACTAAACCTTATTTTGTTCTTTTTTAAATAAGTTATTCCTTCATATATATTTTTTAAAAAAGATTTCAAATCTAAACAATTAGTCTTTTTTAAAATGAAAAAAAAAAATCAATAAGGCCATTCATTTAAAAAAAAAGTGCATGGTTTGCCCACAAGGTGGCAGACCAATATAATTTTTTTTGTAAGAATCTTCATATAGTTTTATAAAGATATAGTATCACAATTTTTTATTCTGTCAAGTATGCAATGCATATGTTTCTCTAGAATCTCAGCTGATAAAATATGGTAAAGCAATATGACAAATGTTCGGATAGGTTTAGGACCAGTTTACACGTACATCAAATTTTTGTGTGTCTGATCTCTAAGTCCCTATATCATACATATATATGTCCATTATTTTTGCTATTTTGAAATAGATTTTTCAAAACTATTTTTAAAAGGTTTTTCATTTTTATACTTGTTACACTAAATGAACCAAGTGTTTGTTTGGATATATCAGAAGGTAGGTAGGGGTGTGTGTGTACATATGTATGCATGTATGTATATGTACATATGCCTACACACACACACACCCATCCAAAGTTTAAACTTTAACTAAAGATTCAAAAGCATTCAAAAATTATTTCATCTTCATTAATGCTTATCTAGTTTTGTGAGTTAATTCTTTACATTTTATGTTGGTTTTACCATTTTGTACTTCAGGTGTTGTGGGAAAGGCCTAAATTGTTGCACCCTATGATATTTACATCACCATATTATTTTGGTGGAAATATTTACTTTCTCTATACTTGATTATATGAGTTCTCTTTTACCTCTTGGCAATCAAAGTCATTCCCCCTTTGTAGTTAATTAGTTCAATTGTTTTTCAATTGAGATTGAGGTTTGTAAGCAAACAGTTGCAGATTAAAAAAAATTTAAAAATGTAATGCGTATAACATTTTCATATGGCAGAAGGACATAACACGTATGTCCTTCTTAACAAGGACATAAATGAATGAATCTACGAGTAACTCTTACAAGTAAGTCACTTGAGAACACTAAATGGCCATCTTAGAATTTCCCCCCTTTTGATGTTTAATTGTCATTATTCTATAATTTTGAAATTTTAACCCTAATTTAATTTTTAATGATAACTAATGATAACTTTTATATGTTGTTTTATTTATTGGTTACATTGCATTGTACACCACCCAGCGCACCTCTTTGAGGGAGCTGAGTGGTTTAGAAATATGAAAAAGTAATAAATAAATAAACAAACAAACAAACAAATTCTATAGTACTGCTTTAAATGTGCTGGAAAGGTTCTCCTCCCCTCGCCCTTTGAATTAGTAAATTGTGTGGGTGAATATTCAAAGTTGGCTATTGGCTTTAAAGGATATCATCCTGCTTGAATGTGCAGCGTGGTACACCTGCCTTTTGTATGCATTCTCCCATTCTAACAACAGTGCAATAATAAAAGAACATTGATGCAAGTACATCTTTTCTGCCTTTCAGCTGGAGCAGAAGAGGCTTACATGACCTCAGCTACGCACTAGGCCATAGTAATGGCCCTTTCAATAGCCTTATAGAAAAGTCCAGCGTGACCTATTGCTGACACAGACAAATTGTTGAGTCTGTGAACACATTGCAGTTTGCTTCAGTTTCTGGTGTTGTGTGAGCATGATGAGATGCTTGTGTTATTAGAAAAGATAATAGCGATCCCTCAGCATAAGGTGGACGTATTTTTCAGATGCAGAGTAGTGTACCACTTGATGAAGAACCAAGGTACTGTTCTTTCTTTTTCCTATTCACTCGATGGGAGAGGACATATCTAACATCCATCTAATGTTAGATGTTTAACTATCTAATGTTAAATATGAGTAAAATTAAAATTTGAAAAATCATCTTATAAATAGATTGACAATAAAAGGGTGAAGTGTAGAATCATACATTTGTTAGAAGAATTAAAGAAATGAACATGTAAAATAAAGCTGTAGTCAGGATATGTCTGATGTTACATTTGTGTTATTTGTAACATGCCTCGATGATCAAAAAAGGCTGTAAAGTAGATAAAACCTATTCCATTAAGTAGCAAATTGTGATTTTGATGACAATTGCAGAGGATCAGTATGGCTTTGGTTGGGTTAAAGGAAACAATAATTCACTGTAATCAGTAACAAATATTACATAGCAGATATATCTTTCTTTAAACTTGTATTTGTATTTCTGTTTATAGGCTTTAGGCTTATTGATTGCTGGAAGACATTGAAACTTTTTTTTTGTCTTAAGTAATTGAGCTGACCATTTTTTAAAAAAAAAATATAATCAATTATCCTCTTCAATTAATAACAAGGCACTTAATCATTTGCTTTGTCAGATAACTATAGGAAATTCCAAAATGTGTGGCATTGCAGATTTACTTCCTTAATGTCCTGCCAAACATTATTCATAAAATTTAGGTGATTTCCAGTAATCTAAGTCTGGACTTACATGGTCCTACACTGTTATTCCAAAGTAGGTGAAGAAAATAAGGTAAAAAGTTGATCTTCGATGACTGGTCCCTGAATTCTTAATGACACCTCTTAGATAAAATGTAACTTCAAATATTCCTGAGATTAAAAAAATATTGATTATCTGAACAAATGCCAAATTGATGAAGTCTGCTTATTGGGTGGGATCTTGTTTGTCCTAGTGGATATCCTTTGCCAAAGGACTAACAGGGAGACCACAACTAGGTATATTCTGAAACCTTGAGTTGAAAAGGGCCAAATAGGACATTAAGAAATGAAATTTAAAACATCTTTGGCAAGTGGCTGTCTAGTCTCTTCCACTCACCTCATTAATGAAAACCCATTTATTACCTGTCTTGGCAATTGCTTACACTGTTGAATTGTTACTCTTTTTTTCCTGTCACTCAATTGAAATATATTTTCATGTGTTATAATTCCATTGTTCAATGCCTATACTCATTTTATACTGGCGATGAGACCAGTATTATTAAAGAGTATACATTTTATGGTGAAGAGACCAATACTGTTAAAGAGTATACATAAGGAACAAAAAAAAGATAAATATAGTTAATTTAAAGGAATAAAATCTGCATTAGTCAATGACCATGTTCAGCACTGAGCAAGGGTTAACCTTCTAAGGTAACAAACTAGCAAAAACTATGATGAACATTTATTTTGTTAAGAGCTGAAACATGTACTGTAGAAGTTATGGGGCCCAGGGTGGGGGCAATATGTTTACAGTTATGTAGGACTTACTCTCCAGTTTTCTGATCATCTCCTTTTCCTGTTCTTCTCTGAACCCGTACATAAGTATATATCAAGGTTTGAATATGTTGAGCCTGAGTAAATGAACAGGGTCCTTCGGGGCTGTAAACTCAGCCATGTACTCTTTAAATCCGTGACCCTTCTGACTAGCTAAAATAGCCTGGAGATGTTGTATGAGTGGTTTTAGTGATGCATAATTCTTGAATGAAGGGATTGTTCCTTTACCTCTGAAGGAGGCTTTGGTTTTTCTCAAAAAGCCATTGTTGGACTCCACTACATTGTGAGTAATGCACTCATATTTTTGCAAGCCATTTTAATTATATGTGTTTTAATTTCACTAAACAGATGGGTAATTATTGGATTGTTTGGAGATCATTTTCATTCTTTCCACAATAACATTTAGTTATATTTCAACAGAAAAAAGAAGAATGAATGGGAAGGTCAACCAGAGGATTCTTCTGGTAACCAATATCGGATTATTATCCCTACATTCCAATATAATATAGCCTATAAGAAGCTTGGTAAATGCATTATTATAAACAATAAGAACTTTGCAAAAGAAACAGGTATGTCTTTATTCTTCTATCCGTGCATTAATTTCTTGTAATAACGTTTTTAAAAATGTGTGAACTTTTAAAAGTGAATACTTTTAATAAGTGGTAATATCACTATGTGCTGATATTAACTGACATCTTGTTTTAGTACAAACCTGACATAGGTTAAAATAATCTATAAGTGGACCTCACTTAATAGCAGTAATTGGAACTGTAATTATATTTGCTGATCAATGCAGTAGTAAGATGTGATGTCACATGACCACATTGTTTAACAACAGCAGTCCTCTTTCTGTTATTTAGAATTGTGGCTCATTAAGCGAGGACTTGTGACTTCCTGCCTGCTTCCAATAGGCAAGCAGTGTCAATGGTAACGCCAGCAGGAAGTCACAACCTTATACTTGTGACTTCCTGCTAGCATTACCATTGACACTGCTTGCAAGTAGTTTGGCAGGCAGATAAATGGCTGTTGGGTAGAACTGCTGCCAGCTGCAGAAGGGTACATAGTGGCTGCCACAGTGCCATGCAAAGCAGGTATGGACTATGTAATGCAGGCAATAGATTTATTTTTTAATCTTTATTTATTTAGAGAATTTATATGGCCAGCCACTCTCTTTCAATGACTCTGGGAGTCTTACAAAAAATAAAAACCCATATACAAAGAGTAAAAATAGCTCTCCACCCACTGGTGAAACAAGCCACTTGAACTCACTCTAGGTTCCCCAAATCGGTTCGCAAAACCAGGTCTTCAGGTCCTTGCAAAAGAGTGTCAACGTAGGGGCCAGTCTAATCTCCGAGGACAAGGTGTTTCAAAGGAAGGTAACCACCACGAAAAGATCCATCTTCTGAGTTCCACCAGATGTACCTCCTATTCCCTGCCTCCTCATCGTGGTGGGTCAGGTGGATGTACCTGGGTAGAGAGGGTCCTTCTCTTTACCTGGTCCTAATCCATATTGGGCTTTAAAGGTGACAACCGACGTCTTGAATTGTACCTAGAACAAATCTGCAGCCAGATGCTGCAGATGGGCATGCACTATGCAATAAAGGATCCTCAGACCTTTACTTTGTTGAGTGCATTGTAACTTCAAATGCTTACTAGTTTGTTGTGGTTGTTAACCAAGGATATTTGTTTTGGAATATAGAAGACTTTTTTTAATGAAAAAAATACAGTAAACCTCACTTTAGCAGACTGGGGAAGTTACATCTATCAAAAAACAAATCTCTGTTAAATCTAAATATACATTAATGTATAAATATCGAGTATTTTCTAAACAACTGAGCTTTTCTGGGATTTTTTCTTTCAGGGAAGGATAGTTTACATTCAAATTGTAATCCATTCTATTCATTGTGGTTTTCAGGACAATTATTCTGCCTCCACCAGGCTGTTAAATAGGGCTGTAACAAATTAATAACATTAATATTTCTATGTCTTTTTTGTAGCCATCTAACAGTCAAATAGTTGATTGTGGTCAAGCATGATAGCCATAATTAAAACCTTTTTGTTTATAAAAGTCTTTGGTTTTGAAAAGTTATTTTTAAATATCACGTACCTCTTTTTATGTTTTGATTATACATTTCCTAGTTTGCTTTTATCTTTTAATGGAGGGTTTTGTTCTTCTGGTTTGTTTCATAGTATTTTAAAGTAATTCTTATTTACCTATTTTAATTATATCTGTGATTAGTCACAATTACCATGCATGCATAATTCTAGTTATTGGCTCATCCCTTTCACTACGGTTACTTGTCACTATAGAAAAGTAAAAATAGCATAATTTGGCCTTCAGCAAATATTAGACAGATGATTATTCAGAGCTATAGGTTATAAAACTGCTTGTATAAAATACATATTTCACACAGCCAGGTGTGACATTCATTTGTTTTGGCTCAGGAATGTTTATACGAAATGGTACTGACAAAGATGCTGGTGACTTACAAAAATGTTTTCGGGACATTGGTTTTGATGTTTCCATCTATAATGATCTCAGCTGTAAGAAAATGAGGGAAATTCTTGGTGAAGGTACTGATTTTTTTTTCTTAACTTGACTTCTTAACTATTATCTTAAAAACTAGTTTGGAGAACTTTTTCTAAATTGATGCTGATCAGATACATTGGGATAACTATTAAAAATGCATAACTATGTGTCCAAAAATTCCAAGATGTGGGCACAGAATGAGGAAAAGAGTAATAAATCACATATCAACTTCCTTCTCTGGAGCTTTAGGATCCTCAAATTGTATACCAATTTCAGCACTTGCAATGTTTTAAGATTATTTATTGTTAAAATTATGGGCCTGTTTTTATACACAGAAAAGCACCCTTTTTAGTTGTTATTGCTAAATAGAGCTGAGTGACATGTTCATTTGAGCTGTGGTGGCACAGTGCTTAGGATGCAGTACTGCAGGCTATTTCTGCTGACTAACAGCAGTTCAGCAGGTCGAATCTCACTAAGCTCAAGGTTGACGGAGCCTTCCATCCTTCCGAGGTTGGTAAAATGAGGACGCAGATTGTTGGGGGCAATATGCTGATTCTGTAAACTGCTTAGAGAGGGCTGTAAAGTACTGTGAAGCGGTATATACCGTGTTTCTCCAAAAAGACGACCTACCTTAAAAAGAAGCCCTATCATGTTTTTGAGTGCATGCAATCAAATTAACCCCACTTACAAAATTAACCCTAATTAAGATCCCACCCACCTCAGGGTGCAGGGGGGGTGGAGCAACGCACACAGGTAAAAAATAAACTAGGGTGGGGATGTGGGTATGGTCTTACTTACCAGGCCTCGCACACCCCAACACCTGCCTCGCCTTCTTTTGCGGCCGCTTGCCGCCACTCGCATGCATCACTCTGCCCTCCGTTTTGCCTTCAGATGCTTGCTGGCATCTGTTATCTGCAGCTGATAACAGAGCTCCAGATCAGCCCAGAGCTCCATTATTGGCTGCTGAGGGCTTTCCAGAAGGCATCTGAAGGCGATACGGAGACCAGGGCAAGGCATGCGAGTGGCAGCAAGCGGCTGCAGAAGAAGTGGTCCAGCAGTGGGTTACTGCTGAGTGGGACTGTCGGTGCCACCGCCACGAGGTGAATCAATAATTAGAATCCTCCAAAAAGAAGGCCTAGCCGTTTTTTCAGGGCTCAAAAGAAAATAAGACCCAGCCTTCTTTTTGGAGAAACACGGTAAGTCGTAAGTGCTGTTGATATTTAATGATGGAACGTGTGGTTGATTTGTAGTTGCCAATGAAGATCACAGTGACGCTGCTTGTTTTTCCTGCATCTTATTAAGCCATGGAGATGAAGGCCGTATCTATGGCACAGATGCATTCATGGCAATCAAGGATTTGACGATACTTTTCAGAGGAGACAAATGCCAAAGCCTAATTGGAAAACCCAAATTGTTCTTTATTCAGGTAAGAAGGCGTTTGCTGATTTTAATTCTTAAAGGATAGAATGTTTATCAAAACAAAGCTAGAAATAGCTTGACATACCCATATGTTTTAAAACAACACCAAAACTGCAAGTAAAAAGGGTCAAAAACTCACAGACATTTTCTTGTAAAATATCATATAACATACATTTGTGATCTTAGAAGAAAAACTGGGCTGTCATCATCATTCCTTGAAAAGTCTAAATCTTTATTGTACTGTGCGTGCCATAACATAATTGCAGAAAGTACCTGATTGTTCTCCTTTTACCCTTTTGTGGGATGCAGTGGCCCATTGTTCTATAATATTTTATTTCTCAGAAGAATTAGAGGTAGGTTTCAGCAGGTTCTGACCAGTTCTGGAGAACCGGTAGTAAAAATTCTGACTGGCCCCGCCCCCATCTATCCTCTGCCTCCCAAGTCCCAATTGATCGGTAGGAAATGGGGATTTTGCAGTAACCTTCCCCTGGATTGGGGAGGGAATGGAGATTTTACAGTATCCTTCTCTTGGCCCGCCAAGCCAAGCCATGCCCATAGAACCAGTAGTAAAAAAAAAATTGAAACCCATCACTGGGAAGGATACTAAGCATAGCTGGGCCGAAATTAATTTTGTTGACATATATGACGTCTAATCCTATCAATGAGAATTATGCTAGATGGGCCAGTAATTTAGCTTTGTATAAGGAAGCTTCACATCTCAAGCACAATTGGCAAATCTATGCAGCTTTATCTCTCCAGACCTTCTCCTCTCATTGTTTATCTTTGTGACAAGAGTTTCTCTTCGTTATTATGTATTTTGGATAGCCCAGGGGCAAATATATCTCCCAAAACTAGGTGTGAGTATAATTTTGGATACTTTATGAATAATAAATCATATGCCCACTAGCTACAGCTTGGCCTTTTCTGCATAGTCTAGTAAATGAAATGCAGCTGGAACATTTATGCTGCAGCCTTCAGACTTAAAACATTTTTGATGGAAATGTTCACTGCTTATCAGTGATAGAAGCCATTAATGTACACTATATCACTTCAGTGGTTATCCAGGTAGAATTCGTTAATGTACAGTATTTAATTTTACAAAGTGTAAGTATTTCTTCAATCATCACATGACTCTGCTAGAGAACTATCATAATGTGTTATGATTTTTGTTTACTATGTGCCATTTATACATACGAGAATTATGCCTCCTATTTAATATTATGGTTTCAGGCATGCCGCGGTTCTGAATTTGATGATGGGATTCAGACAGATTCAGGTTCTTCAAATGACAGCCTGGAAATGGATGCCAATCCAAGATACAAGATTCCAGTTGAAGCAGATTTTTTGTATGCATATTCCACTGTACCAGGTACACTTGGGGAGTAAAAAGTAACAATTTGATATAGGATGAGTCAGACGTAAAATGTGACAGAAAATGTAGGCATTTGAATAGCGACTATTGGAGGGGAGATGTTTTTTTTTACAGTGAATTTTAGTGGGAAACGCTACGTATTAGTGATGATTAAGCATCTAGCAGGTATTGAATGTTGCATGCTAAGACAATAAGGGATATAATTATATAATTGGGGCAGGTTTGTTATCTCACAACTATATAAATAGGAAAAACTAGCCTGTCAGCTTTTCTGTAAAGAAAACATGCCTGTTCCTAAACTTGTACAGTCCTAGTGTGGATGAAAGAGATAATGGTAGGTTAGTGAAAAGTGTGTATACTCTGTTGCAAATTCTTCAATTCCTCCTTAAATCCAAAATATATTTTTCTGTGGGATCTTGGATCTTCTATGCAAGTCCAGAAAAATACACATCTTCTTTACCAAGCTGTTGGCAAGTAAAGCATCCTCATCCATGCTCATAAAAAGCATCTTTCAGTAGGGCTGCATACCTCTGCCTAATGTAGTCCTTAATTTACAACTGCCATTCAGCCTGGAATTTCCATTGCTAAGTCATACAGTTGTTCAGTGAGTCAAGTGATGGTCATGAGAACTGGTCATAAGACACTTTTCAGTACCATCATAACTTCAAATGGTTGCTAGATGAATGGTCATCAGTCAAGAACCACCAGGAATAAAAAAAATAAATGGAGGGTTGCCATGATTGATTAGTATATATTCATCAGTGGTCCAGCAAGGGTCCTTAATGAACTCAGAAGCATGTTCTAAGGAACAATCTCATACAGAAGTGGAAATTCTGTTTTTGGTTAACATGGCTCATACCTATTAATTGAATTATTTTTAATTATTAATTTTTTCGCTCAAGCTAGTTGTAAAAATGTTGATATTTTTATCATATTGTAACAAATTATTGCACAAGTTAATTATCATATATCATGAATATGAATATCATGAAACTAAAAATAATGATATTCATCATACAAGAAAACCAATGTCTCTCTCAAAATACCTTTCCTATCTTAACTTTCACATTCTTTATAATTTTAGAAAAAGTTCTAGCCTATTAAAAATTCTTAAATTCTTTTCTATGTGATATATATTCCAGAGACGATTTATTTCCCACAATCGTACAGTCTTATTACATATAGAGAGGATATCATTTTTCCTTGTACTTTACTCTTTATTAATTTATTCAGTCAATTTATAAGCTGACTCCATCAATAAAGTGATTCAAGATGATAAACAAAAGCATAAATATTTTGGAATAAGGCAAAAGAAAATGGAAACATATAACAAACACAATGCAGTACATCAGAGAAGAAAATACTTCTCTGTATAAATAACAAGGAATTGAAATGTCCAATATCAGTATCAGAAGTCACAAAACACTGTGGCAGGGCCGACTGTAAATCCAGTTTTAAGACTTTCCTGTGGTAATAGATGGGTCAGAGGCATGCAGACTTTGTTCCAAAGAATATAGGTGGCCACAGAGAAGACAAAGGAGATAGTGTTCCATGGGATATGAAGCATACCAGTCTCACTCAATCTTTGTAGGGCTGTATGTTTTATAGCCCACATGTATGGGCTATAAAACATGTACAGATTGTCATTGCCAACAATCATCACTTTGCATTTATGATTTGCAGTTTGTAAAGCAAAGGAAAGCTGAAGTAAAATCATAAGCACAATTGAGGTTTCACTTAGTGACCATTTTGTTTAACAACTGAGTCGCCCATCCAAATTGTGGTCTGTAAATGAGTGCTACTCTACTCACCAAAAGCTTGAAAGACACTTGGAATCAGTGTTTCCGCTTTCCAGTTTAGTCCTATTCTACCTTTGGATTTGTTGGATGAGATAGCTAAATTTACAATATAAATTTGCACTGTGTGTTAAATTCTGTATTTTACCCTTTCTGACTTTAAAAGACAATTCTGTCATTAACATACAATTTCCCTATTCTTACTTCTAGGTTACTATTCCTGGAGGAATCCAGGGAAAGGATCCTGGTTTGTGCAGTCTCTTTGCTCAGTGCTGAATGAGTATGGCAAAAATCTGGAGATCCTGCAGATTCTGACCCTGGTTAATTACAGAGTAGCAAGAAACTATGAATCTCAGTCTGATGACCCACGCTTCTGCAGGAAGAAGCAGGTTCCTTGTGTGGTATCCATGCTAACCAAAGAACTTTATTTCTGTAAATTGGTGCCACCAGCACAGCAAATTTAAAATACATAACTTACATTATACATTATAACTTGCAATACATTTTTAATCTAAGCTTTTCCAGGAAAAGGCAGTTATAAATCAAGAGTTAAAATTGATATAGGCATTTAAAATACACAATACCAGATTACCTCAGTTGATTAATATATTGATTTTCACAGTGCCACATGTTTCTGTATTATTGGAGGTGCCTATTCCTTGTTTCTATTTTTACTGGGAGCAATCACAATATTTCTCTGGAGTCTTGCTTTCCCGTCATAGAAATCGCTCATTTTTCCTCTATTAATTACTTTTTTTAATTTATAAGAATTACTGTATATATTTGTCAAATACTGCCAGTGGCATGCAATACCAAAAAAAAAGTATTAGCAAAGTTCATTTGATGTTCAGTGATAAAATGGTTGAGAAATCATCTAAGTATGCTTAAATGCTCTTTTTCATACCAGTCTACATATAGAATCACTAGGTGGGGTCCATATTTAGTCTTATAAAGCATTACTTTCTGTGTACCACTTGATTTCATTATTATTAATTTAAACTCCAAAATTTCAGTGGGTCTGCTCTAAGTAAATCAGATGTTAATTTAAGTAACTCTATGAACATCTCCCTGGTCTCTTCCTTATTTTGGCAACCAGTTCTTATAAATGTAAGATACATATGAATTGCTTATTTTTATCCTGAATGCAAAAATGCTCCTGGTCCTTTTTTGCGATCAATGAACAATAAATACAATGTACAATCTATTCTACACCAAAGTAATTTTGTATCAAAGACATTTGGTAGTACAGTTATGTAATATATAAATAGAACAATATTAAAGGTTGTTGATTTGTTCAATGCATAATTCTACAAAGCAAGTAAAAGAATAGAAAATTATTTCTAAGATCTATTTTCCTGTAATTATTTACCACTGTTAACAAACCTTAATTTTGTTCTCATTTTCTATGCATAATCATAGTCTTTGCCCAAACAGGTTTCTCTTGGAATATCTTCATCCCCTGTGGTAATTGTTGGTTTCTTATTTTCATAATATACACTCAATATTATGTAATAATGTTTTCTTTTTAAAATTTTACAAAAAGCCTTTATTGTTAGTACATATTTACATATTTGCACATATATTGTACAATTATAGTAGCTACTTGATAGTTTAAGGACTTATCAAGTAAAGGGACTTGTCCCTTTTCAAACAACTTTTGGCCCAATATACTTTTCAAATGCACACACACATATATGCACTGATAAAAGTTCCTGAAATTGAATCTTTGGGATCAGGCATGTTGTTTTGGTTTTTGACACAGAAGAGAAGATCTCGGCCCTATGATGACCTTGATGAAATACATGACAGCCAATCAAAGTAGGTGCTATTTTGGGATGTAAAATGATTACAATTCAGTACTAAATAATTTAGTTATTTTCCTTGTCCTACATTTTGCATACAAAATAAAATTGGAAATGTAACTACAGAATAGCATTAGGCATGGGACTGCAACAGTACTAAAACGTTCTCAATGACTCCTAAGAATTCTTAAGAGTTTACATTTCTGCTCTATGAAGATGTATTAATAAGCCGTTTATCATAGCACTGGCAACAGCTATATCCATTAACTTTATAAGAATGTTAAATATTTTGAAATGCTTAAATTAATCAGCGGTTAACAAAGGGAAGGAATATAGAAAAATTCCTTAGTTTATCACCAAATATTCACAAATTCAGTAAAACAGAAATTTTCCACTGTGTTTATGTCATTTGTATAATGAACTGTGGATTATGTAATTTCTGATTTAGTGTTTAGTCAACAATAACAGGCACCCTTTATATCATGGATCAGTTATGAGGACATATTTTCTAAATTATCTATATCGCCAATCTATATATAAACAAAAACCATGTTTCTTTGAAAATATGTTAATGAATTCCAAGAAGGAAAAACTAATGACATAAACATAGATATACAATACAACAAATCTGTTTGTTAAGGTGTTTTTGTTTTAAATTTTGGAAGAAGGCATGTTCAGCACCTCACATCTGGAGAAATCATTGGTAGTATGCTGTATTACTATAATCCAGCTGTCATTACAATATGTGCTTCTCTAGGTTTGTTTTGTATCTTCCAAATATGTAATATATGTTTAATGCTAAAAAAGAAAGTCATCTTTAGCATAGCAATTTTCCTGGAAAAGGAATATTGGGCAGCAGTTCCTAGCAAGGATGGCCAACTGCTGTAGTAGTGATCCTATATATTTGAAGGACACATTTGGGGGCTGATGTTGTATGCAGGCCAGACAGTGCTATAATGCATTATGGAGCTGTATGTAAGTCTAAGTGTTATTGCTATTGTTAATAATGAAAGATATTTGAACAATTGTTTCACTCTCCATCTGCGCTTCACAGCAAGACAGTACAATTTCCAGTTGTGCAACCTATTCCCTCATTTGCTTCTTTTGTTTTTTCAGTTTTATCTTGACTGGATTGCCAAACAAATCTTGGCAACATTTTCAGAAGTGATTTGCCATTGCTTGCTTTCTAGGGTTTAAAGGAAGACCCTAGCCCAGACTCATCTACCTGGATTCATGCCTGAGGCAGGGCTGAAACTCCCAGTCTCCTGGTTTTTATCCTAGTACCCTAACCACTAGACCATGGTTTTTATCCTAATACCCTAATTACTGGATCCCAATTGAATGTTTACATAAAATTTACATAGGATTCTTGCTGTCCCTCTTTCTCTGGCAATTTTGGTATGCCTTCCAGTTGTATCTGGGCTTATTTGGGGCAGATATGGACAAGTTTGTTAAAATAGTGAGGGGAAAAATCTGTTTTGACAGTAGATAATGCCTTATCAGAAGTATTAGACCTTTCCTTATAGTTCTCCATCTGCATTTGAACCAACGGAAAACTAGCAGCATCTTGTCATCCCCATATCAAATCCCAAGTACTACTGGCCTGGTTTATTGTTGGATGGTGCTCTGATTTCACATGTGAGAACATGCCTCATAAAATAAATAGAAAAATTCTCCAGCTTGGTTGTCCTCTCCTCTTCAAATATCCCCCCATTGGGAAACAATCCAGTTGCGTCAGTGACAGAAAAATTGGCCTTTTTTGCTTCTGCACATTATGAACAATGGGAATATTCAACATGGTTGAATATCAACATGGTTCATAATTCTGGCTTGCTTCAAGTTGAATCAGACCTTTTGGTAGATCAATTAAAAGCATGCAAAGCTGGATCAGCACAAAACTTTGAAACATATCCCTTAATGTAGATGTAGATGTAGATGAGAGGTAATTCTCAGTCAGAAACCCAATGAGAGCAAGTCTGACCATTATAAAAATGGAAACAAAACTGGTCCACTCCAAAAGAGGGAGCCATATAGCCTATTATGTAGGGAGGGATGAAAAAAATTACATGTAAAATACTGAGCGTATAATCTTTTTAAATAAGGACTACTTCAATATTTACTTTCATTACTGACATTTTACTTTCAATGTTCTTAAATATTACTAGTTCTCACTTCTTGGATTTTTCTCATGCATTTTCTGAGTGATTTTCTGAAGCTTGACAATCTCAGCAACTTGTTACTCTTGGACAACCCAGCTTCAACTATTCCAAAACCAATTCATACAAACCCTCTTGCCTACTGTTGACCTACTGTTGACTGAATGAAACGGTAATCTCTTAGTCCAGTTTAAATATTAGGTAAATCTGCACCATTCTCTGAAAGATACGCAAATTAATCAACTGATTTACACCAAAAACCAGATAGGAAAAGACCAGCAGTTGCTAGCCACTGCCCAACTTCTGTAAAATTATTTTGCTGTTCAAGTTCCATCCAGTAAAATGAGATAGATCTTCTGATGACGTAAAAAAAAATACACCACACAGTTAGAAGTTAGAAATTTCCTTGAGCCAGATATATACCCCTCAGTGATTTTGGGAAACGGAGGAGAGTTTCAGTATCTCCACAAACTTGTGGACTACATCTGAGGAAAAGTATTTTAAGCCAATTATCAGGGAATCATGGGAGAAAATTCCCAAGCTCTGTTAAATGCAGGTCTGGACAAACATGAAAAAGGAAATACTGTGAAAATCAATTCTCGTGTCAGTGAGACATCAAATACAAGTATATACTTCTGCCTCGGTTCTTGGTTACGGCTCAGACTCCAACTGAAGCATAACAAAAACTTGCTCAATAAAAATAAATATGTGCACTAATTCTTTGGATATAACAATTGTTTTAGTTATTTATTACTCATTTACTTTGCAGTATTTGTTGCCATCTCAATCAGATTGGCTCCTGGCGAAGTTAAAGAAGTCTAAAATTACATTAAAAGCATAATAGTAATAGAAAGAAAAACAGTACATCTTAAGGGCCAAATACTAAGCTACTTTGGTCTGTCCAAACTAACAGCCAATCAAAGTTCTGGAGCAAAGTGCAATGAATTCACTGCTGATAAGACCTGATCCTTTTGAACAAGCATTGTGTTTGGATGGCACATTTAATTAATTATATGGCTGCTCATTTCACATAAAAGACTGGGCAGCTAATTAAAAAAAATTAAAACCCAACATAAACAGCATAAAACAGTAACAGAACATTTAAAGATCCTACTCACCCATACTATCAGAGCTGCAGGTGAGATGGCAAAGCGATGTTTTGAATGACTTGCAGGTATGGGCAAGTCTGGTCTCGGAATGAAATCTCTATTTTGTTCTGGACATCAAGAGGGACTGAAATGCAGTGGTTTACAGTATAAGTGGATCAAAGATATGAATAGGAAAAATTCACATTTCTTAAAGGCATCAGCTGAAGTGACCTGTAAAGGTGTAAGGAGAAGGAGAACATCTGGTAAGTATTGCCATGCTGAGCATTGACTAATTAAGGCAGGTAGTGGAAGAAGGTAAGGTGGGCTTCTGCAAAACCAGGACATGGGTGGCATCAGGGTCATATGAGTTAAAACTGATGAGATAGGAAGCAGCACTACTTGACCCAGGGAACTTTCGCAAACACGGGACAGGTGCATTTGGGTTTAAAGTCTGGGAAATGGCTGAGAATCTACTGAGAAAGGGTCAGAAAAATTTGCAGTTTAAATTCTGGATAAGACACACTACAATATTGCAGTAGGAAGATCTCTTGTATATGTATGAATTATTTCTTGGGTGAAATAAAGCTATCAAGCAGTGTCAAAGTTCATGAAATTGTGTGAACGTGAAACATGAGAAGGTGACTTTAAGGAGCCTTATGCAGAGTGGGAGGATTCTGGGCGGAATTAAGATATGAATTCTAAAAACATGAATAACAGTGTAGGAGAGATACTATGGGATGCGGTGGCTCAGTGGTTAAGATGCTGAGCTTGTCAATCGAAAGGTCGGCAGTTCAGCGGTTCGAATCCCTAGTGCCGCGTAATGGGGCAAGCTCCCGTTACTCGTCCCAGCTTCTGCCAACCTAGCAGTTTCAATGTATGGCTGTGAAAGTTGGACCATAAGAAAGGCAGAGCGCCGAAGAATCGAGGCCTTTGAACTATGGTGCTGGAGAAGACTCCTGCGAGTCCCTTGAACTGCAAGGCGATCAAACTGATCAAGATGAAACTCAAATACTTTGGCCACCTAATGAGAAGGAAGGACTCACTGAAGAAAAACCTAATGCTAGGAAAGATTGAGGGCAAAAGAAGATGGGGACAACAGAGAATGAGGTGGCTGGATGGAATCACTGAAGCAGCTTAAATGGACTCCAGAGGATGGTAGAGGACAGGAAGGCCTGGAGGAACGTTCATGGGGTCGCGATGGGTCAGACACCACTTCGCAACTAACAACAACAACAACTTCATAATATTTCTTTTCCAAAACAAAACAGTTTTGGCAAGAGAAAGTTGCAAAGGTGTGGGCAAAGGAGACATACTCTGCCTTTTCATTTAAACCTAGATTTTAAAATTATTTTATAAATTCAAACCAAAAAAATAAAGAGGCATTGTCAGTAGTAAACTTTTATTTATTATGCAAGGGATAATGGGCAAGAGGACATGAATGGGAAACCATCTATTAATGCAGATAGATAGACATATAGCCTGAAGGAGAGACAATAGAAATCAGAGGTTACTTTCATCCTTCCCTTCTCCTTGGTTTTGTCTCATCTCTGGGTCAGTGGGAGGAAAGACACTGAAGCTGTTCCTAATCCCACAGATCAAAGTTCAGATGCTTGGCAACTGACTGATATTTATGATGGTTGCAGTGTCCCCAGTTCACGTGATTGCCTTTTGCAACATTCTGACAAGCAAAGTCAGTGGGGGAAACGTATTCAATTAACAACCATGTAACTAACTTAACAACTGCAGTGATTCACTTAACAACTGTGGCAAGA